GGGCCGGGAAGGAAGGAGCCGGCCCCGGCCCGGCGCTCCCCCGGCGGTAGGAAATAGGGCGAAGGGCAGCGGCACAGCGAGCGGGGCTTCAAACCGGCCCCGCCTGCGGCGCCTTCGTCCCCAGCGCCTGGGGCCGTGCGGCGCTGGAGGCTGACGGGGCGCTGGTTGCAGTCTGAGCGACCGGGCCCGGGCAGCGGCTTTTCTGAGGGAAAAACCCGCAGTAACGCATCCCCTGAGCTGTGACAGCGCCGAGCAACTGCTGGCTCAGTAACTGTGCGGCGCAAATGCAGAGGGCAGCTGCGGATGGCACCTGCCACCGGCAACATGGAGGCCCAAATGTCAGGGAACGAGGCTGTGCGGGCCTCAGCATCAATTACAAGTATGAATTAAGTTTTATTTATAGCCTAGATACTAAATGCCTTCATTTGTCAACAAATAACACGGGGCATGGAACAGCAGCATAAGCAGCCCTCAGAGCGGAGCTATTTATGGTTGTATTCAGTGCTCATCAATGCAACAACGGATGGCATTGCCATGAAGTTGAAGAGGAAAAAACTGCTGGGAACAGCCCTGTATTGGCTCAAATCACTCTGCTAGGAACAGCAGCAATTTGAAAAATACTTATGACATGTTCCACCCTGAGAATCGTCTGTTCCGGCAGCTGCCCTCTGTGTAACCGCTGCAGCGATGCGAGGGGAGCAACAGCAGACACCAGCTCAAAGCTGTGCTGCCTCCGTGAGGAGGCACAGGCATTGCCACACTTACACCCCCCAAAACATTAATGAAACCTCTTACTAATAAACAGTGGTGGGGGTTGTTCTTTTTTTAATTAAAAAAAAAACGAAAACAGTTTAATGAAGGGGAAGTGCTGTGTATCATCAGGCAATTTTACATTGTCAAGGGAAATTATGGGCACATTTTCATATCTTAAAAAGTGTCAGCTTTCTTTAAGAGTAGTTAAAATCCTCTTTCCCCTGAGTTTTGAGACAATCACTATGTGTTTTAACACAAAATACATACTCGGCCTTTATTGTGTGATGCACACATTTATCCAGGATACGCATAACCGCAAATCACTTTGCAATTCACCTCTATGGGCCATACTGCATGTAGCAGGTGCTCTAAGATCATACACAGTAAATTCATGCAGCAATTTTTTTTTAAGTTAGAGACTTGGTAAAGCTTTTTTGATGCTAACACTTTCACAGTTTAAAGTTTACGTGTTCAAAGGTAGAACTGCATAGAATTCTTTAATGAATCACTGAATTTAGAAATGTTCATCTATTGTATCGTGACAGAAAATTAAATAAAACATCAAGGCTATTAGAAGATGCTTACATTTTAAACACCATAGACAAACTGGGGGCAAGTGTTCACTCTGCCGAGTCATAACAGAGGCCATGTACAGATACAGCTTTTTTCATTAAGGGCACAGAAAATTTAAACAAGTGGGACAATCCTGAGCTACAACTGCAGTTAGAATGTTCCTGTCATTTCACCAATCCGTGGCTTGTGCTGCCAGAGAAGCTGTGGAACTGCTATATCTAGATGTCTTATATCTAGACAAATTTAGGTCTAGTGCGATCTAGAGAGAATAATTTTCTCTCAGTAGTGTTAAGATACCTTGGGGCTATTGGTATTCCTAAAAAGCTTGTATGTAAGCGCAATAACTCAAGTTAAATCATCTACAACACTTGCCACGAAAGCAAGTCACTTGCAGACAGAGGTAGAATATTGCACCTCACCATGGCAAGTGCATATGTACCATTTCCACCGATATTACATGTGCAAAGGTGATAAAAATCACAAGACTGAAGAATTGTTTCATTCATCCTCGCCCGAATAGTTATATCAACAATCCCCCCTCCCTTCTCATCTAAAAAGCAGGAGCCCAAAGTAAAGAAAAAGGGACTGCTTATACTTTTCAAAAGATGAGTTTTTATACAATATAAACTGTTTCACTTCCCTGTAAACAGATTACTGAAAAACACTCTTAACTAGTCTGATACTGAAAAATTATATTTAGACATTTTTAAAATTACTGTTCTAGATTGAAGGGTGCTTACATAAAAATGCCCCCCCTTTGGACAGACGGCTTCCTGTATGTACTCAGAACCTGCTTATTTTACTGACAAAAATCAGTCAGTCTTGCAGAGCCAAATTAAGCACAGCAGAATGAACTGTATTACATTTTTTCTGTGCACATTAGCAAAAGTGTTAACCAGGTCTCTATTACAGGGCTGAAATCTATCTTCAGTGTCAGCTGTACTCTTTGTTATGAAGGCAAGATAAATGTAGGAAACAGAAATGATAGGGAGCAATTTGAATGTCAGGATCCATTAATATAAAACAAAAAATGATTAAATGGAATGGTTAGGCTGCTCAAATTTCAGTGATACAAGATCTATCCTTAACATATTTGTGTGGAAAACTTTTGTTCTCTGATTGATGAAATCTGATGCATATCCATAGTACTTTCTTGTATACCCTCAGTGCAGCCAAGTAATTACTTTAAGATTATACAGACTGATTCTAATTGTAATCATGGCCAACAGACTCTCTGATAAGTTGCCTTTTATGGTTTCATGAACTGTTAGATGTTTGGATAAGTAGCAGAAGCCTTGTTCACCTACCATATGCACTCAGAAGATGCTATGGCTATGTAGAATGCGAGAATAGAAGGTATTTCCTAGTTTACAGACTTTATTTACTTTGTATGGACTGTCCCCTCTCTATGAGCGTCTTCTCAGAAATTTGTACTTGGTTTTTTTGGTGGTTTTGTGGTTTTTTTTGTTCTTTTTTTTTTTTTACTTCTTTACATTACCACTATGCTGACTGAAATTTAAAAAAATATCAGTTAATCATCCTCAAGTGCTAGACTTCAGAGGTTTTCTAAAATATCCTGTAGCGTATTGTAACAACCTTCTAAATCCAAAACTGCACTAAGGCAACTGAATTTGGGCAAAGTCTCAAAGTTGGTTTGACCAACCAAACCAACCAAGTTTGGTCCTTAGTTCAGAACAAAACAAAAAGCAGAGTTCTTCATGTAGCATTGTTTTTACTGTAAATAGAAAATTTTGTTCAAAGAGTATCAATAGAATATTACAGGGAGCTTGCTAAATTTAATAGTACATAAGACTGTGCCTGACAAAAAGCTAACAGCACTTTTTATCCAACCTACTATTCATGATATACTTGAACACCTCACAATACATTTGTGAGATAATTCAACATGATTATGTCTATTAGGAAGCGAGAATACTGAATCACTGGTATGTTAAACAACAAAAAGAGTCAATATCAAAGCAGAGAGTACAATAGAAATTTTAAATCCAGTTTTGTTTCCTAACATTGAAATCACAATGCAAAAAAAAGAAAATAAAGAAAAAAAAAGATCAAATTACTGGGGATTAGTTGTGTTGGCAAAATGAGAGGGAAAAAAGAAAAAGAAAGGATGAAGCATCCTAACTAGTACACTTTATAATGGCTTATCACATCTACATACCGGTATTAACACAGAAACAACTACAGAAGGGTTCATGTTAAAAAAAGATAATAATAAAAGAAATTTACAGGCAGGTTAGGGCCAGTATGATTTGATTTCGTATTCTTTTGCTATTATAATATAAAACTAAGCTTCAGGCTGGTCAAATGCCTCTTAAAATTATATTAGCGTTTTAGAGAAGTAACTTTCAGATAAAAGTATGTGGTGGAAATGAAAGAGTCTAGTTATACGTGCTAGAAATTGGGGATACCTATCACTTGAGCAGATTGAATCTAATACATTTTAAATGAAAACTACTTAACATCTGATGTTATCAGCTGTTCATCTACAAAAATATGCAAGTCTACAAAAGTATAATGACATTTAATGGAGAAAAAAAATGACTAATCTTAGCCACTATGCTGTACGTTATACTACGCGTATAGTAATAGAGAACAGAAATGAGAAAAATCCAGGGAAGCATTTTCTTTGCATTTTATGTGCTACTACATGTTCTAAGCCACATGGACTTCTACACATCACATCCTTAGAAAAACCATTCCATTATTTGACTGAGTTGTGTTTCATGCATATCCATTCATGCCCTGCTTTCAGTTAAATGCTATGTTCAGGTCCGCATACCCAGCTCAGTTTGAAAGGAGGAGGAAAGCGGCTGCCTGTGCCGGGGGGAGTGCAAGGGTGCTGTCCATGGTGACTACCGTTGCCTCAGAAAAGGCATTTGCACGTTTCCCAACCACTCACCTGCCGAAAATGGGAACAAGCCAGAAATGAGGGGAAAGAACATTGTTGGCAGATGACAGTGTAACCGAGTCTGGAAGAGCAGGCACTTAGGCTTGTTTTCATGATAAATGCTAAAAAAAATCTCTGTGCTGAAAATAAGTCATACACACAGAAAGCACTCTTCTGGACTGTAGCGTATCACCTGGCAATCCTCGCAGAGATGAGCATTACGAGGCTTTTTAAAAGCCTCAGAATTTATTTAAACCCATGCTAGTAGGTCATAAAAAATTTTCTTACAAACTCCATAGAAATATGACACTTGTTTGTAACAGAAAATACATACATATAAAGAAAATACAACAGAAACATGGGCTGAAGTGGATGTTTGCTATATGCCAAGTATGTTATATGCAGTGTATAAAGGTGACATACAATATGTCATCCATCTTTAATGACATATCTCTCTGAGTCACTAAATGGACTTAATGTTGATAATACTACTGTACAGCCTTTTCCATGTTTTATTTGTAGCTGATTTTTAAAATATTTTTCTCCCTTAAAAGACACGTACCAACTAGTAGGATAGCTACAGTAGTCACATTAGTCTAAGACTTCATGAACACTAATGGAGTCACTTGTGTCAATGCTCTGTTAGTGTGAGAGAAATGTTTGTATGGATATGGATCTGCTGAATTCATGAAATGTTACTTGTTTTTGAATATTGAAATTCATATTTCACCTGTGATGCATTTCTTAAAAAGCTGATCCATTTCTGTATTCTAACATTGGTATTATTTATATCAAACATATATCCAATTTTCCAATTTGCAATTTTCCAAACACATCATAGCAACTTCTCTCGGAAGTGTCTGTCACCCTATTCCAGCAGTCCCACACTTTCACTTAGTTTCATTAGACAGCTTCACTGAATTCTCCCAGAACTCCTGCTGTTACAATGTCCCTGAAGCAAAAACAGGTCAACTTTCTATTTCTGATATTCCTTGCATTTTGTTGTCCAAGATGGCAGAAGTACAGTTAAACCGTATGAAGATGTGACAGAAATAAACACACCAGGGAGTAACTGCCTCAGTTATTGCTTTA